TCCCTCTGCAGAGCTGCAGTTGACTCTTGGAGGTCTTACTGAGCCGAGCCCAACAGGGTGATGTTGCCTGGAAAAAAGTCCAAGTCGATGAGATTACGCCCTTTTTTCCAGGGGACACCGATACCAGCTTGGTCAGCTGATCGTCACATGATGAAGTCAATTGATAAAAGGAAGAGGAAAGGTGATAGTACCCATGCCAGTATTAATAATAATAATGATAATAATGGATTGGATTTATATAGCGCTTTTCAAGGCACCCAAAGCGCTTTACAATGCCACTATTCATCTCAAAGAAATCTTCTCAGCCATCAGCCGTCTGGATGCAGCAGTGGGAGTTGGCATAGAGACCACGAAGGGCATATACAAACTGCTGGGGGACTCCATAGTGACGTAGGATAGCCTATAAACGCTGTCAAGAACCTTCTTGAAATCGATGCAATTGATAGAACTCTTCCTTTGGTATTCCAATGTTTGTTCAATGATCATGCGGAGAGTGAAGATTTGCTCGACACAGGACCGGCCACTCCAGCCTGCTCATCGTCCACTGCGCATCATGAAATTTCCCCCTGTGGGACTAATAAAGGTATATCAATTCCGATTCGAAAGAACGAGGCAAAGCAACTTCCCGGGTACTGACAGTAGCGTGATGCCCCACCAGTTGTTACAGTCTCCCAAATCGCCTTTCTTCGGAAGTTTGATGACGCCTTTTGTCTCATCAGGTACACGCGATGTTGACCAGCTGGCGTTTAGGAGTCATGTAAGAGCGAATTCCAGCTGGGGTCCACCGTGCTTCAACATTTCGGGGAGGACCTCATCCAAGCCAGGGGCCTTTCCACTCTTGAGGACTCAGATCATTGTCTTGACTTCGGTAACACAGATTTGTCCAATATCGACTGGAAAAAGCTCCATGGAGGGTGGCAGGTCTTCAGCCACCTGGTCCTGAACCGACTTCGCCAAACTACATTCATCAATGGGGTCCCATGAATGGTGGGAGGTACGAGTCGTATTCATGTTAAAGCTGGGCCAGTTTACCAGTTTGTAACGGAGTCTGTACATTCCATATTCCATAACGGGTAGTTTCTTTTGGGTCGAAATTTGATTGACGCATCGAGCAGGTAACGACCTGAGGGCTTTCCTCCACTGCTGTCATCAAGGGTTGCCGATCATCTTCGCCCTGGTTCAATCGATGATGAGATTCGTTTGCTCTTTCCATAGCAATCGAGGTTTTAAAAGGCGGGGTTGCTAACCCCATGCCCAACCCTCCTCCTTTCTCATCCGGCCTTGGGACCGGCAATGGCAAGTTTTTATCAGCACACAATATCATCAGCTAACTCACAATTTTTCATACAGTCATTTTCTCCAGTGATCAGTACTTCTTTTATTATGTCATTTTCCTTACAACTCCCATTGTAGCACATCTTTGTAATGTGATACTATCACCAGAATGTGGTGGTAACACACCTACAACATGTTTGTTGACATCTTTGATTCCACTAATGGAGTTTCAGTTTGTTCCACGACTGCATTTCACTCACTGCCTCTGTTTGTATCTCTGTCACTGCAGGACCAACATGGAGCGAGAAGTCAGCGCTCTCAGGAGGCCGACAAACCTCACAGAACAACGGGAGAGAAAAAACACAGCTGTGACGAGTGTGGGAAGGATTTTAATTGGAAGTCTGACCTGTTACGGCATCAACTCATCCACAGTGGAGTTAAAGCACACTACTGTGACTTGTGTGGAAAGTCTTTTACCCTGGCTACAAACTTAAAATCACACCAACTCATCCACAGTGGACTTAAACCGTACAGCTGTGACTTGTGTGGAAAATCTTTCACCCAACTCGCACACTTAAAAAGACACCAACTCATCCACAGTGGAGTTAAAGCACACAGCTGTGATCAGTGTGGTAAAGCGTTTGCTCGTAGTAGCACCTTACGAAATCATCTAGTTACCCACTCTGAAAATAATCAAACGTATAGCTGCGACATTTGTGGAAAAACATTCTGCTCGCTAGTCAAACGAAATATTCACCTGCGCATTCACACTGGACATGATGTTTACTGGTGCGATCAGTGTGGGAAACTGTTTACAACAGCCACACACTTAAAAAACCACATGTTTATCCACACTGAGGAGAGACCTTATAAATGTGACTGGTGTGAAAAGGCTTTTAAAGAGCCACATTCCCTGAGAAAGCATCAACAGATTCACACCAGAAAAAGACTCTACAAGTGCAGTTACTGTGAGGTATGTATTCATATTTTATATAAGTATAGTATAGTTCAAAGCTAAATGAGACATTAAATCTTCGTCAACAGAATATTCAGTCAACTCTGAAACAAATCTGCTGAAACTTTCCTGATGTTGGAAAAAAGCTTCTCCCCTTTCTAACATTCACACTCCAATGGATGCATTGGAGAGCAGCTTGGGGTTAGTATTTTGTGGCATGTAGCAGGGCTCACAAAATCGCTAGCCCAATGGGCTGACATAGATTTTGGTCACCCGACCGGAGATATAGCTAGCCCCGGGACGTCGGGCTAGCGATTTTGCGAGCCCTGTCTAGAGTAGGGCATCCAGGGGTTTAACCACCAATATTCCCATTAAGAAGATACCTACAATTGAAGAGACATTTTCACCCAGTAAGCTGAGGTGGGTCAAGTATTGAAAATTGTAGTCAAGTAAGAGTAGCATTACTTTAAAATAAGTTTACTTGAGTAAAAGTGAAAAGTAGTTGGTGAAAAGACTACTCAAGTAGTGAGTAACTGGTTGTAATGTACGATTTATTTTTTTAAATAAATGCTATCAGACAAACAAAAATAAATAAATATACAAATTTTAGTATTTTCAAATAGAATATATGTAAAACATTAAATAGGGCACAACAATTCTAATTTCCAGATTTCAGT